GGCGTCACGTGTGCTCGGGGGGTGCGCGGCCGGCCTGCGGCCATGACTCAAAAAGCGTGAACTTCTCGTCTTCCCAACAGAGGGGAAGCCGCTAATGGCCATAATTATCCAACAGCCTGGTGATTACCTTTATAAATACAGGCACTCCCTGTGTACGAATTGCCTATATCTGATGCCGTCTCTGAAAATTTGTGCAAACTGAAATCCAAAACGGCAGCAGGAATGTCACGTGTAGAACATGACCCTCTTGCTTTGACACTCGCATTAGTCTAAGTCTACTGCTTGCATCTGAGGTAGGACAACCGGAACAAGCTCTTTCTGGGACGTAAGGATATAATCGGGTATGAGTGATTCATAAGGCGCAAATAGTCCAGAACTCTGTACGTGCTTACATCGCAAGTTGCAAGCATTGTGTTGGCGGTAGTGCCGTTTTATTGGTAGTGAGGTTTCTCATGCCACCAAAAGGGTCAATGAAAAGTATTATCCTGTTTCAAAAGGCTGGACCTCGATGGCCTATCTGTCCAACTACCGAGTCTTTTGGCACACATTTTAATTTTGAACCTGTACTACGGGATGCTTTTAGCTAGTCTTAGCACAAAAGCTGACCACTCCTTATGAATTTGAGGCATACTCTGTTGAGGCCAAAGCTGACTTTCATTGGAATATAAGAAACTGTCCACTGGATGAGATGAATCTTTGGTCTGACATTGCTGACAGGAATATCAGCTATTCACCGTGTGTGCCCTTTATGCAGCTACCTTAACAAGAGAAACTGTCCACCAGTTCTGCTGATCTGAACTTCGGTCAGTCAAAGCGAAGGGAGAAGTTGTGCACCCTATTGGCGCATGGGTGGTATTGGAGTCTTTCTGCAGCTCACCTTCTTCTAACGCGCGACATCACAGACCAGGTTACGTAATGGCAACCTTGGTCGCTCAGTCGCTCTCGATCCAGCGCAATGGCCCATGTCCGCGTGCGACGCGCAGCGTTTGCCTTCGCACGACTGGGGCGCACACAGGCATTCCAGAATGCTCGGGTCAGTCATCGTCCAGAGGCTGACTCACATAAAGCCCACTCTGGATCCTTGCTGACGGACAGACCGGAATCCGCCCCGACCGGGAGCGGACGCAGACCGCTGTGACGACCCCACACTCTCACATGGTCCTCACAGTCGAACATCATGCCAGACCAAGTGGCAACTTCCTCCTAACTATTATCCAATCCTTCTGTACAGAATAACAATCTCACCATCCCAAGACTTCTCTTTCCTTCTAAGGACCCGAGCCTGGAAGATCGCAGCCGTTAGGGTTAACTTTATTAACCTTAATACAATGCGATAATACCGACAGCCGAAGCGTTGTGCATCCTTTTTAGACGGAGATCTGGTCTATCCAGGTCATAGGTACTCCCAGTTCCGGGGCAGTTGTAGCCCCTCACCGGATCATGGCGGATGCTGGCCAAATGACAGTTATGCCCTACCGATGAACGGGATACTAGGTAAAACTCCAGACACGTGTTTCTTTGCTTTTCTGCATCCAAAGTTGCCACTGTGGTTATTTGGGCGTATCAATTGATCTCCCAGCGAATAAATGAAAAGGTTCGCGTTCCAGGTATCTGCATGGATAAGGAAGAAGACTTGTCGAGCACCGGATAAATAGATTTATTGTCCTGAGCTTTCGAACTCTTGCAGGAGTCCATCTTCAGAGGATCACCCAGCGTTCCCTTTGTGGGTTTTAATATTGATCCAGAATTTAAAGCGAACATAATTTGTTAAAATTTGTTTTCGAGTGTGGATTTAGATGGTCAAAACTGGCTCCGGCTACCTAACTCCAAAATAGACAGTTATTTTGTACAGAATTATGGTGTTAAGAATTCATATGAAGGAGACTGCTCAGTTGCAGACAAGAAAACTGACAGAACCTTTTTGGACTTTTGGATATTGCCAGTATAAAACGTATGCTAAAACGAATGTATGTGCTGATATGAAAATGAGGTCTTTGGTTAAGATTGACTACGTTCAGATAAAATCTGTATATAAAAAGACACCGAGCCGACCTAAAGTGGCCGGTCCCGACTACTTTACCCTAGGTACGAAATAAACTCCCATTAGATAATATTTAATACAAATAATCACGATAATCCCAAACTTTTCACATATTTACGATAATTTGCTGTGTCAAAGAAGACGGCTTCGGCATATTCGCTATCGTCCCGTTATTCGCTACAAGATTTGGCTGTATTTGGCAGGTTCGTAAGATGTGAACGGCTTGTAGGACACCCATGTTGAAACAGATCTTGGTTATGAACTTAGTTATCCCCGATTGACCTTGTTTTGTTGCTATTATCACGCCAGACATTTGGCTGATAGTTCTGATGCAAGCCCGTCCTTTTATTAAAGATCTCACGCTTATATTTATGGAGTTGACTGCAGAATGTGCATTCGTAAGCATATTTCACACGGGTTTCTTAGCTGGACGCGTGCATCCCACTTTTAATGTCAGAGGATTAAACGGCTCGGAGCCCCATGCGTAGACCTATTGATTATGGCGTTTGAATGGTCACGTGAAGGGTATAGAGAAGAGGGTTGGCGAGGAAACAAAGACATGTCGTGATTAACACGCTTAACATGCAGGTGCAGGCTCTCAGGTTCCCCTATAAGCCAGGACAGACTCGTGCAAAGAGTGCTCCTTATAAGTTCTATGACACTAAGCAGGTTAGTAAGGGAGATATGCCCTTGAAAACACCAAAAACACGCAACTCGAGTGGAAATCCCAACAAAAATACCAATATTTCAGTAGGGATCAATGAAAGGGAGACTTCAATTTACTTTGTGGGAGAGCATGACATGATGCAATGCCCTTATTACAGGAAATGGTCTGCCTTCTCTGGAGGAACAAGAATCCCTGTCAGAGCTCGAAAACTTAGCTGTGCTCCTAGAAAATACATTTTCGATGCATCCACCTGTCTTGAAAAACCTTGCCACTGCCAACTGAGCCTAGAACATGGCTTTCTTCCCAGAGAACGCATCAGCAATCATGCATGCTCGCGTGGTACTGTCCTAATCACACGACTGCCTGAGAAGTTGGGTAAACAATCGTGCATAAACAATTCCAATTTTCCTATCAACTCCTCCACTAATAACATTTCTGACGGTTTTGAGCACTATGACAGAGTGACGGCACGATCCCCCAACACCATGAATGAGCTTCGTAAGGTCTCAGAACAAGTCATAGAGCAGCCCGGTGGTTCAGATGTTTGCGGTACGTTCCAGATCGAGACTCCTGCTACCCTGAGCATAACCGAAGGTGATGAAGGGAGAGGACATATAATTAATGAGGTTCTTGATGAAGGCGCATGCCAATTTTTTCTTCCTATTGTTGATGAAGCAGAGTCGAGGCATACGGCCAAGAGAGGACTTTTCACATTTGCTGCTGACGGCGACGATAGAAGCCTCAATCCCAGTTCGCCCTCATCAAAGCAACTGCCATCCAACGAGGCAAGTAAATCGGCTAACTTAACCAAAACTCAACACCATCCATCACCAAAGAAAGCCCGCACCCTCATCAAAAGACCGGAACCCGTTGTGGATATTCTTCGCTCGGTTGGCCATAAGGGCCATCCTGCTCGTGAAGAGGTTTATTGCGCTGCGACTGAATGGCGAGCTTTCCTCATATCTCAGACAAGCATTTCCACTGCCCGTCGTCCAGCTTGGAACATGGGT